TCCTCAGTCTCATCAGCTCAGAAACGTGTCTTGTCTGGTTACGAATCTTGGTACATTTTCTTGTGGTTTTATATAATTGTTTAGGTATAGTCTCCATTCTGGGGCGTAGAAGTGTCACACAGGTTACCCTGCTAGTGTTTACCTTTGGCAAATGAAACATAAGAATTAGGCAACTCATCCTCCTGTTTACATAGTATCTATTGTGACATTCCAAAATAGTCAGAATTCGTACGTTCTTAGCTTTTAGATAGTAGTATACTGACTAGTAAGGAATTATTTTAAAATATGTGAAGCTAAAACACAAACTTAAACATTCCTAGGCCTAGTATAGTACACATGTGTACTGTATTAAGCCTCGGATATTGTGTATTAGGCCTAGGGAGGTTAGGGTAGGTTAGTTAAGTTTGTCAAAGCAACACAAGTAAAAAAAATAGTTTTCCGGTTTGTCCAACTCAATAGTTCAGATTTCTACGTTCTAATTTCGATGTACGTCGGTATATATAGTATGGTCCTCATCGTTACTATAAGTATTACCAAACCAGGAGGATGGCCTGGAATTATGGAAAGGGCAGAAGGCATTAGTGGGCCAGCCAGAGGCTTAGGGCCCGCGCAGGAATATCCCTGGAAAAAAAATATGCAGAAGGCCGATTCGCCAATACGAAGCAGCTCCTATTTATATCCACCCAAACTGACTCATATATACGTCTAACCTACGCTTGAAACAACCCACCAAACCCACAACTATTATGTTACCAAGTAATTTGTTCCATAATTCAACAACAGTTTCCAAACCAATATTTACCCAGGTCTTCCATGAATCTAAACTCCTCCACTATATTTACAATTACTTCGTAATCTATTTTGTCGATATATGTAAAATATTATTTTCATCACTTGTATTCCCTTTGATCCAACTCCACTACTTCACTAATATTACTCCGATTCATCATCTTTCTAGAGAATGCATATTAAGCTTATTTAATCCCTCTTCTTAAGGAAGGGTTCTAAATCCTGGGATTAATTTTGCCAATCATCTTTGTGCGCCTTTCAGTAATTCATGTCCATTACCGATTGTTTCTACAATATGGAAACCAAAACTGGGCGGGGGTAGAAATAGCCTAAGCTACTCTATCCCTTTGAGATGTATTTATTGCTTATCTCAATAAACATACTTGAACCAAAACTGAACTGAATAATGTAGACGAGGCCTAAGAACAGCAAGATCAAGCTGGTTAACAACACATGTCTAATTGCTAGTGCTTGTAGAAGTAAACCCCCCAACATCTTGTTTGTCATATTCCCTACAATTATGATTGATTATCTTGGCTAAGATCCCTACTAATGATGACTTACCTTTCTCACATTCATATTTTTCAACGTCAACATTGTTCATGTGATACTTGTTAACTATTACTATTGTCTAAGCTCAGAAATCTATATTGGTCAATATTGAATGACATCCGCCAATCATTCGTCCACTTCAAATGCTTATCGAGGTAGTCTTAAAAGCAGGAGAACTTTGTGTTCTCTCCACATTTAGTTGTTCAATCCTTTATCTAAATCGTTTGTTTAAAACACACACACACACAGTAGGGGGCCTGGTAGCCTGGTGGATAGCGTGCAGGACTCGTAATTCTGTGGCGCGGGTTCGATTCCCGCATGAGGCAGAAACAAATGGGCAAAGTTTCTTTCACCCTAAGTGCCCCTGTTACCTAGCAGTAAATAGGTACCTGGGAGTTAGTCAGCTGTCACGGGCTGCTTCCTGGGGTGTGTGTGTGTGGTGTGGAAAAAAAAATAAAAAAAAAAAATAAAAAAAAATAAAGTAGTTAGTAAACAGTTGATTGACAGTTGAGAGGCGGGCCGAAAGAGCAAAGCTCAACCCCCGCAAAAACACAACTAGTAAACACACACACACACACACACACACACACACACACACACACACACACACACACACACATTCAAGAAAAGGCTGGGATTTTGTGAAGCTGGTTATTCAGGGCTGTGAAGGTTTCAGTGACTACATAACAGGTACAATAACAACTGGAGGACAACAAATTGTAGTCGCAGTCATATATAATCCACCACCAAATGACAGAAGACCCAGACAGGAATATGATAGAAACAACATGGCCACCATTAACATAATAGAGAGAACAGCATCTCTCGCTAGTAGGAATGGATCTGGACTACTAATTATAGGGGACTTTAACCACGGGAAGATAGATTGGGAAAACAGAGACCCGCATGGAGTACCAGATACATGGAGAGCTAAGCTGCTTGACGCGGCCACAACAAACTTTCTAAGCCAACACATCAAGGGACCGACAAGAATGAGAGAGGAGGATGAACCAGCAATGCTTGATCTGATATTTACCCTCAATGAGTGGGATATAAGGGAAGTTAAGATGGCATGAGTGAATGAGACAAAAACCAGGGTTTTACGTAATTCCCCCATGCACCCGAGCTATGTTAATAAGTTGTTCTACCTCTTCCACCTTACTTCATTACACGAGGTTTGTCTCTCTGAGAGACTGCAGGAACCGTTGGTAAATCAGGATGATTTTCCGGTTGCAATTCTTTTAACCATGTCGTAGCTCAGTCGATTAAGGCAGCATCTGGGATCCTCTCGGACGTAGGTTCGAACCCTCGTCACGGCCCTTGTGGATTAGTTCTTCTAATGTGTTCTTACTCTAAGGCTGATGGGATTCGTGACCCTTGCTGCTGCTTCCAATAATAACATCTTCCAATTACTATGCCAAATTACTGCATATTATGTTCTACATTTTCATTCTGTTTTTCGTAAGTGACTGCCCCCTTTCACTCAATAGTCAAAAACTTTCGTAATTCTTCGCAGAGTTCAATCATCATTTTAAATTCCTCACTCATTTTAAATTCGTTTCTTGCAGTCATCATACACATGTTTCATCTTTTGAAATGTGTATTTTAGAGTCCAAATTGTTTTTAAATTTAATTCTCTTTTCCTCCCCCCTACTATACTATATTTTTTTTACTCTTTGCTCCCCTAACCTGCCAAACACACACCGAAACTACGACGTCGGTACAACGTTCGAACAAGTTTTAACACTTCCTAACCAGTTATAACCAATATAGCAAGTTGTAACAACGTTCTAATACGTCATAAACACGTTAAGCCAAGATGTAATAACTTTATTAAAAGTTGTAACAAGCGGAAAATAGAGAGAGTTTCGGTTTGAGTTTCCATGGGACATGTTTCGTCTCCTCATGGTGTGTTTTTGTTACGTCACTTTGTGCTTTTGTCTACTGTCTCAATGTTCAACATATGGAAAGCCCTTGTTATTCACACACAGATCACACTAACGTGATGCATCAAATTAACAAATCCACAAGGGCCGTGACGAGGATTCGAACCTGCGTCTGGGAGCATCCCAGACACTGCCTTAATCGACTGAGCTACGACAGGGTAAAACAGGGATTTGTTCCCTCGCTACTCCCAGTGACGGGGCAAGCGGCAAGAGATCAGGGACTGTCATGAGAAGGGAGCCGGTCGGCCGGCCGAGCGGACAGCACGCTGGACTTGTGATCCTGTGGTCCCGGGTTCGATCCCGGGCGCCGGCGAAAAACAATGGGCAGAGTTTCTTTCGCCCTATGCCCCTGTTACCTAGCAGTAAATTAGGTACCTAGGTGTTAGTCAGCTGTCACGGGCTGCTTCCTGGGGGTGGAGGCCTGGTCGAGGACCGGGCCGCGGGGACACTAAAGCCCCGAAATCATCTCAAGATACTCAAGAAGTGACCTCACTTGTCTGGTATAATGATCCCAAACGACTCCGTCTTCATGTGTATTTATGCTAGTCAACTCTCCATATTTATCTCAGGAGGTCCAGTTGATATTTGCTCAGATTTTATCCCACGTGATATTGTGTTTCCGGCCTTCTGCTTCCAGCATCCAACCTCATTACTTGACACTTGCTGGAGTTAAACTCTTGGAGCCACCTTTAAAACCATTCTTGCAGTCCGAGGGTGTGTCAGAGCCTGCCTGGTTATCATTCTCACCCTAAGAATCGAAACTAGATTTTTGCGTGTGCTAACATTGCAAAAAGGTTTAAATTCATTCTTGAAAGCCAGATTTGCTTTATGAAAACTATGGGGAATTCCCTTGGAATTTCCTTGGAATCCCTTGGAATCCCTTGGAATCCCTTGGAATCCCTTGGAATCCCAGAGCAATGGAGGCAGAGTTTGTATGAACTGGTTTGTATCAAGCTGGTAAGGCTTGAACCCTGTCCAAGCCTTACCAGCTTGGACACGGTTAGAGTGGGATCGGGGGAAAGGTGGAATGGGTCGAAGGGAAAGGAGGAAAATGTACAATTCTGTTCCCTTCCTGAACTCCGGAAAGAGGTAGATGGCCGCGGAAGATGGGGAAGATGCAGCTTCCGACCTACTCCATTAGGGTAAGAGGGGCAACGATATACCTGTCTAAATAATGCAGAATGACTGAACACATTTATGACAGAGAAACTGATGAAAGAAACGGGTGCAGGAGCATCACTCACAAATCACATGCACAACGAAATATACAACACATAAATCTGACACTATTCACGGTTACATTAGATAACATACGAACTGAATAGCTTTAAAAATACTTAAATATTACAAATAAACTACACAGCATAGGGAGCCGGTCGGCCGAGCGGACAGCTCACTGGACTTGTGATCCTGTGGTCCTGGGTTCGATCCCAGGCACCGGCGAGAAACAATGGGCAGTTTCTTTCACCCTATGCCCCTATTACCTAGCAGTAAAATAGGTACCTGGGTGTTAGTCAGCTGTCACGGGCTGCTTCCTGGGGGGTGGAGGCTTGGTCGAAGACCGGGCCGCGGGGACACTAAAGCCCCGAAATCATCAAGATAAGATCTCAAGATAGCACTGAACAACCTCTGAAGACAATGACAACATATGGACCAGGCACTCGGCTTAAATACTTAAATGTACAACAAATGAATAATTCACTGCACGACTAAATGCCAACGAACCGAACACAAGCTAAACAACCTAGAAATATATTCAGGCCGCCTGGACCAGCTCCCAGGGCCATCTTCCTCCAGTTTACAGTCCGCCTGGAGCAGCTCCCCGGGCCATCTTCCTCCAGTTTACAGTCCGCCTGGACCAGCTCCCCGGGCCATCTTCCTCCAGTTTACAGTCCGCCTGGACCAGCTCCCGGGCCATCTTCCTCCAGTTTACAGTCCGCCTGGAGCAGCTCCCCGGGCCATCTTCCTCCAGTTTACAGTCCGCCTGGACCAGCTCCCCGGGCCATCTTCCTCCAGTTTACAGTCCGCCTGGACCAGCTCCCCGGGCCATCTTCCTCCAGTTTACAGTCCGCCTGGACCAGCTCCCAGGGCCATCTTCCTCCAGTTTACAGTCCGCCTGGACCAGCTCCCCGGGCCATCTTACTCCAGTTTACAGTCCGCCTGGACCAGCTCCCCGGGCCATCTTCCTCCAGTTTACAGTCCGCCTGGACCAGCTCCCCTGGCCATCTTCCTCCAGTTTACAGTCCGCCTGGACCAGCTCCCCGGGCCATCTTCCTCCAGTTTACGGTCCGGCTGGACCAGCTCCCCGGGCCATCTTCCTCCAGTTTACAGTCCGCCTGGACCAGCTCCCAGGGCCATCTTCCTCCAGTTTACAGTCCGCCTGGACCAGCTCCCAGGGCCATCTTCCTCCAGTTTACAGTCCGCCTGGACCAGCTCCCAGGGCCATCTTCCTCCAGTTTACAGTCCGCCTGGACCAGCTCCCAGGGCCATCTTCCTCCAGTTTACAGTCCGCCTGGACCAGCTCCCCGGGCCATCTTCCTCCAGTTTACAGTCCGTCTGGACCAGCTCCCCAGGCCATCTTCCTCCAGTTTACAGTCCGCCTGGACCAGCTCCCCGGGCCATCTTCCTCCAGTTTACAGTCCGCCTGGACCAGCTCCCCGGGCCATCTTCCTCCAGTTTACAGTCCGCCTGGACCAGCTCCCAGGGCCGCCACCCTCCAGTTTACAGTCCGCCTGGACCAGCTCCCCGGGCCATCTTCCTCCAGTTTACAGTCCGCCTGGACCAGCTCCCCGGGCCATCTTCCTCCAGTTTACAGTCCGCCTGGACCAGCTCCCAGGGCCATCTTCCTCCAGTTTACAGTCCGCCTGGACCAGCTCCCAGGGCCATCTTCCTCCAGTTTACAGTCCGCCTGGACCAGCTCCCAGGGCCATCTTCCTCCAGTTTACAGTCCGCCTGGACCAGCTCCCAGAGGGCCATCTTCCTCCAGTTTACAGTCCGTCTGGACCAGCTCCCCGGGCCATCTTCCTCCAGTTTACAGTCCGCCTGGACCAGCTCCCAGGGCCGCCACCCTCCAGTTTACAGTCCGCCTGGACCAGCTCCCCGGGCCATCTTCCTCCAGTTTACAGTCCGCCTGGACCAGCTCCCAGGGCCATCTTCCTCCAGTTTACAGTCCGCCTGGACCAGCTCCCAGGGCCATCTTCCTCCAGTTTACAGTCCGCCTGGACCAGCTCCCAGAGGGCCATCTTCCTCCAGTTTACAGTCCGTCTGGACCAGCTCCCAGGACCATCTTCCTCCAGTTTACAGTCCGCCTGGACCAGCTCCCAGGGCCGCCACCCTCCAGTTTACAGTCCGCCTGGACCAGCTCCCCGGGCCATCTTCCTCCAGTTTACAGTCCGCCTCGACCAGCTCCCCGGGCCATCTTCCTCCAGTTTACACTCCACCTCGACCAGCTCCCCGGGCCGCCACCCTCCAGTTTACAGTCCGCCTCGACCAGCTCCCCGGGCCATCTTCCTCCAGTTTACAGTCCGCCTGGACCAGCTCCCAGGGTCATCTTCCTCCAGTTTACAGTCCGCCTGGACCAGCTCCCAGGGCCATCTTCCTCCAGTTTACAGTCCGCCTGGACCAGCTCCCAGAGGGCCATCTTCCTCCAGTTTACAGTCCGTCTGGACCAGCTCCCAGGACCATCTTCCTCCAGTTTACAGTCCGCCTGGACCAGCTCCCAGGGCCGCCACCCTCCAGTTTACAGTCCGCCTGGACCAGCTCCCCGGGCCATCTTCCTCCAGTTTACAGTCCGCCTCGACCAGCTCCCCGGGCCATCTTCCTCCAGTTTACACTCCACCTCGACCAGCTCCCCGGGCCGCCACCCTCCAGTTTACAGTCCGCCTCGACCAGCTCCCCGGGCCATCTTCCTCCAGTTTACAGTCCGCCTGGACCAGCTCCCCGAGCCATCTTCCTCCAGTTTACAGTCCGCCTCGACCAGCTCCCAGGGCCATCTTCCTCCAGTTTACAGTCCCACCTAACTGGGGATACATTTTCGGGGGGATTATGCCTAATTGACGGTTTCCTGCTTCACCGTCAATTGGGGGAATTCTCGAGTGGGTGGAAGTAGCGGGTGGAGGCGGCGATCTCAGAGGCTGCAGTGTGACATAGAAAGGTACAGTATGCAGGCGATGAGTTGCAATAACGTGGCTAAAGTATGATGACCAGACCACACACTAGAATGTGAAGGGACGACGACGTTTCGGTCCGTCCTGGACCATCGTTCTCAAATTTACCTATTTACCGTGTAAATTCACCTATTTACCAATCGACTTGAGAATGGTCCAGGACGGACCGAAACGTTGTCGTCCCTTCACATTCTAGTGTGTGGTCTGGTCATCAATGGTACAGTATCCTCGAGCCGTGATATCTAAGCGATCAAACGTGTTAGATCTCGAGGAGTTGAACTGAAGATTACATTGAGAACTTTGCGATAGACTTAATAACGACCAGCATTTAACCAAGTAAGGTTCAAGGCTGGTCCCCGTTACAATAATATTACTCTGCTACAATACTGCAGCTATCGTATCCTACGAGCGCCTCTACAACAAAAATATGAGTGCCAGAGTGTATAGTATTTCATGCCGGGATGTAAAAGAATTTGTCCACTGAGGTCGGTGTCAGGGGCTATCTGTCTTGAAATTAATTATTCTGGCCAGACAAGAAGGCGCCTTGAACTGCTAATACATCACCAACGACAACGGCGCTCTATATAAATTACATCACCTATAGTAGCCAACGGCGAGCGACCCGTTCGTTACCTTGCCTTAGAGACGTGTGGCTGAGAGTAATTTGTGTGGCAAGTGTCTAGGAACATTGATAAACAGTGATGACCAGACCACACTAGAATGTGAAGGGACGACGACGTTTCGGTCCGTCCTGGAGCATTCTCACAATCGACTTGAGAATGGTCCAGGACGGACCGAAACTTCGTCGTCCCTTCACCTTCTAGTGTGTGGTCTGGTCATCATACTTTAGCCACGTTATTGTGACTCATCGCCTGCACATTGATAAACAGTTATATGAACCCCATCGACGCGTGTATTAGATTATGCAGTCCGTCCTCTTAAAATAACGTCGCTTTTCGCTCGTATGCGCGCTATGGCTAAACATGGACATAATTTGAAATGGAATTCCCACTCACCATATGGTGGGGGGAGGGAGGGGGGATGAGCCCAAGAAATGGGGGAAATGAGCCCACCATATCATTCTCCGTGGCGTAGTGGTAAGACGCTCGCTTGGCGTTCCGCGAAGGCTTTGTCCTGGGTTCGTATCCAGGCCGGGGAGGATTTACTTGACGCAAATCCTTAATTGTAGCCTCTGTTTAACTCAACAGTAAAATATGTACGTGTTTGTAAAAAACGATTCTTCGCGGGGGTCGTATTCCAGGGAACAGAGGATTAAGGACTTGCCCGAAACGTTACGCAGACTAAGGGCTGTACAAGAATGTAAGAACTCTTTGTATATATAAATAATAATAATAAAATCGGCATACGAAAGTGGCGTACTATCCCGTTTTCTGTTTGAGTCCTCCGGCTTACTCGGTTAGGTTAGGAGAGGAAACTTTCAATTAACGGTTTTCATGACGTTTTGAAACCTTAGGAGAACTTTTTGCCCACCTAACCTACCAGAGGACCATTAACTTGCTGTTTTGGAAAAAAAAAATCCAAAATTTATTTTCAATTATTTTTCATTTTCAAATTTGGTCCATTTTCGGTCATACGGATAAACGGCCAAATTCAGACGTAATTTGTAAGAGGACAAGGGGCCAGATTTACGAAGCAGTAACGCAAGCACTTACGAGCGTGTACATCTTTCCTCATTCTTTGACTGCTTTGGTTACATTTATTAAACAGTTTACAAGCATGAAAACTTCCCATTCAACTGTTGTTATTGTTATAAAGAGCCTCCTGGTGCTTCGGAGCTTATTAACTGTTTAATTTAACAAAGCCGCCAAAGATTGAGAAAAGATGTACAGGTTCGTAAGTGTTTGTGTAAGTGCTTTCGTGAATCTGGTCCAAGGTTAACCCCTAGGCATAATTTGTTTTAAGGTGAGCAATGATGAGTATCACAAGCGCCTCTGTATGACTAACCATCCTGTGTGATGGGGATTTTTTAGCATCACCGTGTTAGCTTTTTTGACACACTGTACTCCCCTTCATATAGTCTAGGGGAGCTGCACTAATGCAAATGTACCTAATGTATTAATAAAAAAAATGATGAGTATATTAATATTCCTGATGAGTACCCAGGTTGACCCTAACTGGCTGCGTCATTTAAGTACTGGCAGCGTCCAGAATGCAAATCTACTATCAGAACATATATTTTGCATGTCATTGTCGCTAATAATATAATTAGCTGAAAAACGTTGGGCAAAAAACCATATCCTACATTTCAAGGGGGTCGCAATGGAAGCAGTTCTCTGACCCCCCCCCCCCCTTAAAGGGAAGCAGTAAGGCAGACCCGACCAACCTAATCTTGAGGTTATCTCGAGATGATTGATTGATTGAAGATTAAGCCACCCAATAGGTGGCACGGGCATGAATAGCCCGTAAGTGGTGGCCCTTTTGAGCCATGACCAGTATCAAGAGCTGATACTGGAGATCTGTGGAGGTGCGACTGCACCCTACGTAACGGGAGATGTCTCCCGTGACCCTATCTCGAGATGATTTCGGGGCTTAGCGTACCTGCGGCCCGGTCCTCGACCAGGCCTCCTTTTTGTTACACACACCTAGGAAGCAGCCCGTAGCAGCTAACTCCCAGATACCTATTTACTGCTACGTTAACAGGTGCATCAGGGTAAAGGAAACTTTGTCCATTTGTTTTCCGCCGGTGCCGGGGAATCGAACTCCGGTCCCTAGGTCCACGCGAGTCTAGAAAGCTGTCTACTTGGCCCCCTGCGTGTGCGAGCGCGCGAGAGAGAGCGAGAGAGAGAACGCGCGTGCGTTTGTTTGTGTGCGTGTGATTTATTGAATATTACCGAAAGCGTTACATTAATGATCCTAGCACGAATCTTCACTTATATTTTTCACGTTCTTAATGGGAAGGAAGTTGAGAAATTAACTCTACAAAGTTCACTTTAAAATATATTTTGCCTTTACTGATGGCATTAAAGTAAGGGTAACTAACAGGCCCAACCTTTCGTTAAATCACTCTACAAAGGAAAAGCAGCGGGGTCGGATGCTGCCAGACTCACGTTATTAAACAGTTGTGCAGACCAGCTGGGTTTGCCCCCCCTCTCACGCCTCAACCAACTCTGCCTACATTAAGTATATTTGGCACTTCCTTTGGAAGGCAGAAATAGTTCCAGTCCACAAAAAGTAGTTCAGTGACCGATAACTACAGACTACTGTCACTGACAACTTGCCATTACTGGCCAAATTTTTGAGACCATCTCAAAAAATTACTTTCTTACCATCAACGATTACTAGGGCGTCGAAAATATGGGTTTAGGAAAGGTCGCCTTACCTCTGACCTCTTGCTAAACATTTTAACTATGAGACTTCAGTCACTGTACAACTGGAATATCAGGTGTGTTACTGCACTGGACGCTGCACAAGCTATGTAACGCTCTAATTTACAGCCAATAAGGGACAACCTTCCAGGATGGAAGCAGATCTGAAATGAAGATCAATGCAGCAGATCCGAAATTTAGATCAATGCAGAAGATCTGAAATTTAAATCATTGCAGCAGATCCGAAATTTATATCAATGCAGCAGATCTGAAATGAAGCTCAATGCAGCAGATCTGAAATGAAGCTCAATGTAGCAGATCCGAAATGAAGATCAATGCAGCAGATCCGAAATGAACATCAATGCAGCAGATCCGAAATGAACATCAATGCAGCAGATCCGAAATGAAGATCAATGCAGAAAATCTGAAAACCCCTTAATTGATGCAACCGTACTGTAGGGTAGTGTATTGTGGAATACCTATTTCAACGATCCTATTACACCTCATGCCTGATGCCGAGGTGTATGATGACTGTACATTAATCTTTATATAAAAAAGAAGCACGATAATCCAACTAAGAGACACAAATGAGTGGCAAATATTAAATGTTTGGGGGATGAAATTGCAATCTTGAGAATGAAGTTGGACTTTTGTGACTAGCCACGTCCTTGATTTACTAAAGGAGACGGTCAAAAACCTTTCCGGCATACAAATGTGAAAAAAGATGATATATTTTTTAACATTTAAGGATTGCAAGATCTTTCGTGAAGCACAGATTCGCTCCCATCTTGAACATGCACCTTTCTCCAGGATGGGCTGCGCCACACCATTCTTCAAGATGGGCTGCGCCACACCATTCTTCAGGATGGGCTGCGCCACACCATTCTTCAGGATGGGCTGCGCCACACCATTCTTCAGGATGGGCTGCGCCACACCATTCTTCAGGATGGGCTGCGCCACACCATTCTTCAGGATGGGCTGCGCCACACCATTCTTCAGGATGGGCTGCGCCACACCATTCTTCAGGATGGGCTGCGCCACACCATTCTTCAGGATGGGCTGCGCCACACCATTCTTCAGGATGGGCTGCGCCACACCATTCTTCAGGATGGGCTGCTCCACACCATTCTTCAGGATGGGCTGCTCCACACCATTCTTCAGGATGGGCTGCTCCACACCATTCTTCAAGATGGGCTGCTCCACACCATTCTTCAGGATGGGCTGCTCCACACCATTCTTCAGGATGGTCTGCTCCACACCATTCTTCAAGATGGGCAGCTCCACACCATTCTTCAAGATGGTCTGCGCCACACCATTCTTCAAGATGGGCTGCGCCACACCATTCTTCAGGATGGGCTGCTCCACACCATTCTTCAAGATGGGCTGCGCCACACCGTTCTTCAGGATGGGCTGCGCCACATCATTCTTCAGGATGGGCTGCGCCACATCATTCTTCAGGATGGTCTGCTCCACACCATTCTTCAGGATGGTCTGCGCCACACCATTCTTCAGGATGGTCTGCGCCACACCATTCTTCAGGATGGTCTGCGCCACACCATTCTTC